CATCATCTAAAATGATTTAGAGCTACATGTCACAGTTCAGACAAGCTGGTTGAAAGCCTACTTTGTCACCGCCGGCCAGGATGCCATCTATTTGAACTGGCCTTTTTCTTGTTTGCCTGGGGCAAGCAGAGAGTTAGGCTATAGTAGAGCTGTTTGCCGTTCCCAGATACTCCAGCAGTTTAAACTTTAAAGCTCTTACACGTAGAAGGTGGCCAGTAGATTGTCACCAGTGTTTAATCACCTAATCTTGCCTAGAGGGTAACTGGGAGGATCTTAGGAATGGAGGCATTGTCTCTCCTTCCATCTGTGTTCTCTTACCCTCTTCTTTCTTTCCTTCCATCTAGTACAAACGCTCCTCCTCAGAATAAGTTTTAAAGGAAATCATTCAGACAGATTTATGACCAAAGATCTGTGTCCAAAAATGCTCACTGTATCAATATTTATATAGAAAAATACCTTGGAAAAAATCCAGTAATGGGTGCAACTGAGTAAGATATTAGTGTGTAATAGATTACTAGTATTTATGGTATATGATAGATTTTTACTGTGTAATTATTATAGAGCAACTGTTTTTGAAGCACAATGATATGAAAGAATATTAAGTGTTAAGTGTAAAATGAAGTCTTTTTACGTTTTTATGAAAGGTTGGATACATGCAAAAGAAAATGGCTAATGTGTGTGTGATGTGAAGCATAGTACACACCGTGAACGCACTGCACAACTGTACAGTGTGGTTAAATGTAAGCTCTGTTTTTTGCATATCTGTATAGAAATGAGAGGCAAAGCTTTCAAAATGTTAACAGCTCTTATTTTGGGAAGTAGAATTTTAAGTGGTCCCTGGGTTTTGTTTACATGGTTGTTGTTTTGCCCCCTAACTTCTGGGTAAAGGAGTATTTGTAAAACCGGCAAGTAGCAATAAACATTATCAAAAGGATAAGAAAATTTAAACTGGTTTTTAACTCCATCTCATTAGAAAGAAAAACTTCTTAAAATGCTTGCCACCGTTATTTCCTGAGTAGCAAGTCATGGCCAGATACATAGGATGGTGTTGCCTACCATTTGTAAGCAGGCAGTGCCCTATGACAGAGCCCCAGGGATTAGAGGATCACAGTCACAGGTGGTGTGGTGGGAATGACCTCTACAACGTGCATTTAAAAAAAATTTGCTTCTTTTTTCATAGTTCATGCCTCTAGGAAGGGATTCATTTCCTCATTTATCAAATGTTTGCTGGTCCCTGTGAAATACCAAGCAAGAGTGATCGAGAGGGTTGTTGTTGCTTTCTTGGTACTTACTTTCTATTGAGGAAAGATAGTCAACAAGGAAACAGGCATGTGGTGAGATATCAAAGAAAGATGTGTTAATGAGCCTACATAAGAAGGACTGATGTAAATTGGGTGGTCAGGGTCAGAGGAAGGCTACTGTGGGGGTTTTTGAACTAAGATCTGAGAGACAAGAAAGAGACCACCTTAATAATAATTTGGAAATAGTGGAAGCAGCATGGGCAAAAGCTCCATGGCACATTCTGGGAACAGAGAAAAGGCCAGTGTGGGTGAAATACTGTGAGCAGAGGGGCATAATGGCTAAGAGAGGAAAGGGGAGGTGGGCAGGATCACAAGGGGACATCCAGACTAGTAAAGTTTGAATTTTACATCAGATTCAGAAGGAAATTGTTGGATCGCATAAACAAGAAAATTGCATGTAACTTTTAAAAAAGTTACCTTGGCTACTATATGGAAAATCACTATAAGGGGTCAGGAAAGGAAATGGAGAGATGAGTAAAAAGTCATTTACACTGGCCAGGTGAGAGGTAGTGGTGGCCAGAATAGAAACATTGAGGAGGGAGAGAGGTACAGTACGTAGATTTGAGGTCTATTTGTAATTAGAGCCAGTTGATCTTGCTGAGTGGTGTATACAGGAAACTAGCAAAGGGGAATCAAAGATGTCCTCTAGGATTTTGATTTGAACACCTGTGAAGGTGTTTCCGTTTATAAACATGAGCAAGATAATTCAGGCACTGATTTTGAAATTCTGTGATACTGTGTTTGGACTGTGGGTGAGATGTCTGATAGGCAGGAGCAAGGTGAAGAGGTTTAGCAATGAAGGTAAACACTTGTAGGTCACTAGTGTATCGATACAGTGTTTAAAGTCGTGGAAGCTGCATGAGATTGCTAAGTGAGAAGTAGAGGTAATGAAGATTGAGTCCTGGGACCTCCTCAGGAAGGTCTTGGCAGTGGGGGAGAACGTGATGGAAAGGAAACAGTTAGTTGGGAGGAAAATCGGAGAGGGGAGGTAGGTAGAGAAGAGGGTGTTTCAGAAGAAAGGGTAGGTCAGGCTGTGGTGCTGAGAAGAAATAAGTTGAGATCAGAGACATAACCATGTGTGTTATGACAGATTGCTGCTAGGTTGGTGGCTTAAAACAGTAGAAATTGATTTTGTCAAAGTTTGGGAGGTCAAAGTTCAGAATCACATTTTTTTGTGCATGCTGCACCCATAGACAACTATGTCACCTGTGCCAGGACTCTGCAGGTTGATAGACTACTTGTATGTAGTAACAGTTTCACATGCTCAGCATGAGAAAGAAGCAGATTTCATAAAAGTCTCTGCCAGTTCCTTTGCTCTCAGTGTCGTTGGCCCATGTGGTCCAAGGAGCCATTATTTAGCAGGGGCCATTATTTGTATAGCCAAAAATCTGGCTGATTTCAGATTTAAAACATGTTTTGATTGATAACATCAGTTACCGTACATTATTTCTTTGATAACCATATTGATAAGCATGTTGCTGAAAAATTTCTATTCACAATATGGAATGGATATAATTTAGTAATGTGTAGGTATAGTAGGTGTTGTAAACATATATGCTATGTGAGGAGAGATCAGGAGATTCCAAAAAATGCTCTTTTCCCTCCAGATTTTTTCTTACCAGCTTTGCAATAATAGCTGTTAATATGGGTGGGCATGGAGTTGAGCTGCTCTGTTCCCTGCAGGCTTTCCATGATTCCTACTGGATGGTGGTGAGAAGCTGAGGTGAGGTACTGTGTTCATCTCTGGCTTTGTGAATCCTCCATGGACAAGGGTGTAAACACACCAGGAAGGAACCTGCTGGTCTGCTGGGATTCTGGTTATCAGAGGAATTCCTTCAGCCTGAATTCATCATGGAGATGGAGCTGAAATAACTGAGAGTCTAGGAGTGACTGTAGAGGAAAGGTGTGTGTGTGGGGTGTGGTACCAGGTGAGAGGCTTTACTTTGTTTGGGAGCTGACTTTATTATAGCCCAGATCTTTAGTCCTGCAACCATTCTAGCAGATACCAGTGTGCCACCTTGGGATTGTTTGCCCCTTGGCTTCTGTATGGGCCCAGAGGCCTTTGTTTAACATAGTGAAAAGAATACATGCTTTAGCTTAGGTCAGATTCCATCATTTACTATTTCTGCAGTCTTAGACAAGTTTGGCAAGTTGGTGCCCAGTTGGGATCTCTGTTTCCTCATTGTTAAAACAAAGTTGAAGGCAGCTGGTATTATGCCTACCACATAGCAGACGTGTAAGTGTTACTTGCCGATATTAACACATCTCTTTGTTGTTAACGCCTAAGGAATATCCACTTGTTGACATAGCTGCTCCTTGAGAAAGAGAAATGATCCCCTTGTCAGACCATGGCAATTACTATTAGGTCTTGGACTCAAGCATGTTGGAGAATAATCATAGTCATCAAGAAATACTTCCCAAGAGAGGCTTTCTCTAATTGTAAGCTTTAATAAAAGAAGAAAGCAGCTTTTTTCTATTTGTAGTGGCAGCTTTAGTCAAAAACACAGACACTGGGAGGAATTGCTGAGGAATGAAGCTACAAATATACCTGTTTTCCAACAGCAGTATTCTAGGGGTTGTGGAAGGAGGAGTTGTATTACATGATAGAAGACAAGGAAAAGAAAAAGGATGAACCTGATGGACAGGTCTTTATTGACTGCGTGTTTTGTGGTCCCTGGGCTGCCATGTTGTGAACAGGACAGCAGGATGGCCTCTGGTTTACCTGGAGCCAAGGTCAGATGTTCCTCCGCTGCTGTGTGACCTGGGGATGAGAGTTCCTTTATTCTGAGACCTTCAATTTAGTAACACCTTGGAAGAGATTGGGGGGGGGACTTTTTCTCATTAAATTATTCATCACTTGTAGCCATTTGTAAGGTATTTTCTGGTTACAGAAATGGTAATGTAATTTTAGTTTAGAAGGAAGGTAATATGGTAATGCCTATTTTAGGGATCTTGGGAAGATTAATAAGATAATGTATGTTAAATGCCCATCCAAGTTATTACTCAGTGAATTGTAGCTATTATTAACAGATGAAAGGACATGAAAAATAATTTGGGAACATCTAACAGAATTTTAAATAACAAGGTCATAATGTGAGCAGGATCTGAAACGACTACAGCGAAAGGAGAGACGATGGGGTAAAAGTTTAAGTGATGATTCAGAGGTCAAATAAGGAAATTCTAATCCCTTTACAGACACAGTTTTTATTATTTTGGATAACTTTATGGCATGTATTGCAGTGTAAACCAGAATGTGATAGTCATGTGGGATAAATTGACTCCTGTGCCAACTTCTGATCACGTTACAGTGTTTCTGAACTTGCTGTTACCTGAGGTCTTAATCACAATAAATAGAGTAAGCCGTTGGGTAACTCATAGGTAATTTTAAAAAAAGTACATCTTGAGACAACTTAGACTCTCTCTCAAAAAACAAAAACAAAAACAAAAACAAAGGACTTAGGATATAGCTCAGTGGCACATGGGAGGCTCTGGGCTCAAGCTATTATTGAGAAAACAACAGAAGTGTTGTATTTTTTTTGAGGGGGGTGGGTTAGACAGCTAGCCAGGGACTTGTTATTAGTTTATTAGTTCAATTGTTGGCTAGAAAATTCTTTGCTTAGATTTTAAAATTTTATGTTTTGATTTGAGTGATATGGAATTTTTAGCTCTTTTTTCTTTCTTTTCTTTTTTTTGTCCCAGGTCCAGCAAGACTATGAATCTCTGTTCCAAATGCTTTGCTGGTAAGTGCAGAAAAGGGTTTAAAATATTTTTATTTTTCTTCTTTCGGTTTTTAAGACTGTCAAAATTATTTGACTTTCCTGATCTATGCATGGGATTTTCTTTTCTTAGCTTGTCAATGAAACTAGTTTCTTCTTACCAAGGTACTACGTATATTTGCCTAGGGCTATTAAAATACAGTAGCCATCTCTTAGTGAAATGGAATTTCATGTGTACTTGTACCACACAAACTTTCCTTGGTTTATTGTTGTTGGTATACAATGGAATTACAAAATGACTTGTAGTGTTTCTCTCTTGATTTTGACTTGCATGATAGATGGTGAGTGTTGTGCTACTCATGCAAATACATCAGGGGGAGTATTTTCATTGATGTCAGCAAGAAAATCACACTGAGTTAGCTCTTTTTAATCATATCCTTCCTTGTAGTCACCTTGAGTCTCAAGTCACTTAATTTCTTAGATTCATCATTTATGCAATGCAGTACTGGGCTTGATGTTCACCAAGGGTCTTTTCTAGCCCTGAAAGCTGCTGCTGCTGCTACTCTTTCTCTTCCTGCCCTTCCTTCCCCCTACTCCTCCCCCAAAACTTTTGTCTTTGATTTTATAAAGCTAAATCTTTACTAATGAGGATAGTTTAACTTTCCTTCTTTATTCATTTTGTCTAAGGTAAAAAAATTGAACACTATTTGAAATGGTAAGGACAGATTTTAATTGGTAATATACTTTTGCAGTAGAGTCTAATAGTTTAGTTTGCACAAAAATGCTGGGCCTTTTAAAGGGCAACTAAAGGAGTAAGGAGTGGACGAACAGAGGCTCCATATAGTTAGAGAAGTGAAAAGTTACAGAGTTGGTGAATATTTTGATCATACCAAAAGTGTCTGTTGGCAATTACTAAAGTTAGGATTCTGTTTTCCTACACATGATAGGAGATGGAGAATCCTGCCTTTCTTCCTTTTGCAATTAAATTTATTTGTACATTTAAAGCAAACAATACAGTTACATTTATCATCAGGATCTTGTATCTTTACGTGATATATCTTGGTTCTTGTTTTTTCCCCATTCCCCAGCCGTCCCTTCACCCCCTTCACCCTTCCCTGTTTACAAAGACTGTTTCCATTTTTTCATTTTTCTTTTCCCTTATTTCCTTTCCCCTCCCCTTCCCACCTCTCCTTTAGCCATTTTCTTCCTATTTCACCCTCTCAATTATACCATTTGAACCTTATTTACACTTTTAGTTTTTCACACCAGAGAAACTGTTAGGTATTTACTCGTGTATCCTATTTATTTCACTTAAGAGTACAGCCTTAATGTGCATCCATTTAGCTATAAATGTTTCTAGTTTCTCATTCCTTATGGCTGAGTAGTACTCCATTTTATAGAAAAACCACATCATCTTTATCCAGTCTCCAACTAAAGGGCAGTTGGGCTGTTTCCAAGTTTTAGCTATTACAAACTGTGCTTCTATAAACATGGGTGAGCATATGTCATTGTGATATGATTCTTTTACTTCTTTTGGAAGGATACCCAGCAGAGAGATAGCTGGGTCAAATGGAACCTCTAGTCCCAGTTCTTTGAGGTATCTCCATATTGATTTCCACAGTGGTTGCACCAGTCTGCACTCCCACCAACAATGGAGAAGGGTTCCTTTCTCCCCACAACCCTGCTGACATTTGTTATTGGTTGATTTCTTGATAGCAGGCATTCTTTCTGGAGTGAGGTGGAATCTCAGTGTTGTTTTCATCTGCATCTCTTGAATGACCACTGATTTGAACATTTTTTCATATATTTCTTTGCTGCTTTTATTTCTTTGTCTGAGAAATGTCTGTTCATTTCAGATGCTCATTTTTGAATTGGGTCTTTGTATTTGGGGGGGTCCTGATTTTTTTTTTTGAGTTCTTTATATATTCTAGATAGTAGACCTTTGAGGAGTAGCAGGTAAAATTTTTTTCCCACATTGTAGGATGTCGCTTAGCTCTGTTGGTGATTTCTGTTGCAGTGCAAAAACTTTTTCATACAATGAGATCCCAGTTGTTGATTCTTTGTGCAAGTTCTCATGCTGCTGAGGATTTGTTCACAAAGTCTTCTCCTATGCTAGTGTCTTTGAGAGTTTTACCTAATTTACTTTCCGGTAAGTTTAGTGTTTCTGTTTTAATATTTAGATCTTTAAATCACTCGGATTTTAGTTAAGTGCATGGTGACAGATAGGGATCTAATTTTAATCTCTGGCAAGTTGAAAGCCAGTTTTTCCAACATCATTTATTAAAGAGGCGATCTTTCCTCCAGTGAGGATGGTTGGCTCCATTGTCAAGGATGAGGTAGCTGAGTATGTCTGCTGTTGTTTCTGCATCTTCTAATCTATCCCACTGATCCTTGGGTCCGTTTCTTTGCCAGTACCATGCTGGTTTTTATCACTATGGCTTTGTAGTATAGTTTCAAGTTGGGAATTGTGATACCCCCTGCCATGTCTCTATTGTCTAGAATGGTTTTGGCTATTCTAGGTCTCTTCTGGTTCCAAGTGAAGTTTTGGATTGTTTTCTCAACTTCTGCAAAATATACTGTTGGCATTTCAACAAGGATTGCATTGAATCTGTATAGAAGTTTTGATCATGCCTTTCTTGAAGATTACATTTAAAGAATGGCTCTCGGGCTGGGGATTTAGCCCAGTGATTCCACTGCCTGCCTTGCAAACACAAGATCCTGAGTATGATCCCCAGTACCCTCCCATTGACTCTCAAGTCCCCTTCTCTCTCGCTGGGACAGAGGAAGGGTTCAGTTGTAATCTACTTTTAGTAAATGGTCTAGGTAGATGATTAGGAGCTGTCTTAAATGTTGGCTAGAATCAATAGTAAATTCTTATGGTGGCCTTGAGCTTAAAGAGGCAGCAGGTCAAAGGAGGACAGGGGTCATTTAGGGATGTAGCCTTTAGCTGTCAGAAATTTTAATGTGTATGTGGAGGAGAGTGAATGAAATCATTTGTTGAGTGTCTTTAGTATGTATGTATGTATGTATGTATGTATGTATGTATATGTATTTATTGTACCAGGGATCAAACTCCGGTCCCCGCACTTGCAAGGCAAGCAGTGGAACCACTGAGCTAAATCCCTGGCCCTTTATTTGGTTTTTTGAGACAGGGTCTCACTGTGTAGTTGAAACTGACCTGGAACTCACGATGTAGCCCAGGCTGGTGATCACTCACAGTGATCTTCCTGTTGCAGCCTCCCCAGTGCTGGGATTACAGGCATGCACCACCATGCCCAGCTTGAGTGGTCTTTAGTTTTTAAATGTCCAGTTTGAAGCCTAATCATGAAAAGGGCTCAGAGTTATTTTGCCTCTGATGAAATACTCTGCTAAATGGTGAATATATCTCCCTGCTCCCGATGACCACCATCAACTAACACATTAGTTGCTAGCAAATTGTATACTAAATAAGTGTTACTTACCAGTAATATTGTTAGAATGAGAAATGCCTATGTCAGATATTTTTATATATGTAGAGGAGGAGCCAACTTGGCTGGATTTACTAAAGGTGTGCTTACAACTCAATCAAAATTCTTCCCTTTGAAATGAGAAGGTATTATTTTTACTTTCATTGTTTTCATATCCTTCTTATCTTGAACCCTAGTGGGGCCCTCTTACTTTTTTTTTTGGTACCGGGGATTGAGCTCGGGACCTTGTGCTTGTGAGGCAAGCAGCGGACCTCTGTTACTTTTAAAGATGAAATTACTTAAACTGGTTTTGTTAAAAATGCATGCAATGCTTGTTTCTTAGCCTTAAAGCTCCTTTGACCTGCTGGATGTGGTGGTGCATACCTGTAATCCCAGCCCTCACCTGTAATTTCAACCCTTAAAGCTGAGGCAAGCAGATTGCCCAGAGTTAGAGGTCAGCCTGGGCTACATAGTGAGAGTTCAAGGCCAGCCTGAACTGCATAGTGAGACCCCGTCTCCAAAAAAAAATTTCTTTGATCTGAACACTTTTATCATCCAAGATTTCCTATGCCAGGATCTCTAGGATAGTTAAAAGAGGTATTCTAGGAGAGCTCCAGGAAGTGATACATTTCAACATTTCAGTTTGTGGTAGAATGGATTTAAAATGTTCTTCCAGATTTTTATGAGGGTATTTTAGAGAGGGGGATTAACTTTATTGTATTTTATTATATTTTCTCTTTCTATAAGAATTTCTGTTTGCTATTTTTTCAAACTTTTCCCCTCTTCTTTCACATGTTCTGTATTTTCCTTCCTCCAAATAACAATTTTTGTAGCATTTGTTTGGAAATGTGGTTATCTCTCTCAAGGCTGAGTGTTCTGTAAAGACTGTTCTGTGAGCGGAAGGGAGGAGCTCCTGCAGTTTGGGTAAGGAGTCTCCCACCTTTGAGTTGATACATTATTTTTCCCACTTCACAGCAAATAATTTAAAAAATTTCCTTATAAACTTGAAATGATTAATGCTTAGTCACACACTAACCGCTTTTCTGTTTTCATTTCCTTCTAGAAGCCCAGAGTAAATGTTATATGATTTCAGTCACTTTTGAAAAAGAGTTGAAGCTTATGGATGAATTTTTAAAAATTAATTACTTTTATTGGTACATTTAAGGTATACAGTGTAATGACATCCATCATTGGAAATTTACACCTTTACATAATCCACCTAAGTTCTTATTTTTTCCCCATTCCCCTGCCCTCCCTTCAACCCCTCTACTCCTCCCTATCTACAAAGACTTTATAGCTGAATTTTGAGGATCTACAGTAGAAGGAACAGTGAGGTGAAAAATGTTAAGGTCTTCTTACTATTCATACTTACAGCAGTTGCAGGAAGCCTGTACCCATCAGTAATATGATAGGAAGACAAGTTACCTACTCTAATGAGTGAAATTTTGGCAGAGTAGTAAAATAAATAAGCTTGTCAGTCTTTGATTTTTCAAATTACTTTTTCCCAAAAGAAAGGCAGCTGCAGCACTCACAGTGAAACATTTGAATAAAATCTTTATAGTTTTATTGACTTACTTA